CGCTTATATATTAGGTCAGTAATTATTGATTCTTCTTTTTATTCATTATCTATCCTCGGCTAATGGTACTGCTACAATTCTTTATTCAATAAAAATGGCGGCTAAAGAAAGTGCTCAACTCTCGTTCAATTCTATTTAAAACTCGTACGAACAAAAGATCCTTTTAATAATAAAATCATCAGCGGAAATGTACAATAGATGCCTGAAATAATATTAACTTTTGTTTGAGTATTTCCTTCGTTTTTCCAGGGGTGGAGCCTTCTTAGTAATTTAATAAGAATTACATAAAATTTTTTGGCTGTCAGGAAATACATTTTTTTAACGACCTAGGCTGGTTTTGGAGGTATTTTGACAAAAACAGCCCACTTTTGCATCATTGTAAATTACTTTAAAAGAAAGCATAACACTTTCATGCTTTTTAATGTTCTTAAAACGTAAAATAATTAACAAGAACTCCGATCTTTAAGTATCTAGGTTACCCTAACAGAAATCAACGAATTCCTAACACTTCTAGTCTTCTATCCAATTTAATTAAAAGTACATTAGATTATTCCCCGTCCTCGGCATCCCTACCAATAAACAGAAACTTGGCACCGGAATTCACTTGAATTTATTAATTCCGAATTTGTAATCGTGTTAAACTTTAATTTCGGACGGCTACTTTTTCGCCTATTATGCCAAAGGGAATTATGTCTACGTGTTCCGAAAACGTTATTTTTTTCCTAACGTTATTTAGGTTATAAAAATTAGGATGGTAATGTTTTTGGGTTGAGCTGTTTAATTTTATGGTTATGGCATTTTTGTGCTAATGCTAATTGCTAATGTCAAGTTTTTTTTTTAATTTTGTTCTGTATTTTCGGTGTTGTCAGATACGAATATATCGACCATAAATGAGTTTTTTTTTTCGCTAAAACACGGGAAATCGGTTACATTCTTGTATTGTAAAATATTGTGTATCCACGATTCCTTAAAAATCGATTCTACGAAAAACACTACCTACATAAGGGAAAAAAAGTGCATTGATAATTGAATCATCACGCTTGCCACCTTTTTGGCGTGAGTCAGCACAGAAAACCGCACTTGTAGTGAATCACCTATAATTATGAACATTTTTATTGCCGTCCTAACTGATTTCGTATCGGCAATTTGCTTGCGTTAGAGTTCTCCCGCGAAGTTTTTATCCGTTTTTTACTCACGTAATTGATGGATTATTTTTACTGAATAAATTAATTTGTAGCTCAACGCACTGACTGGGAATTAAACGAAATGCCACGTCCGCGTCATAAAACATTTTTATAAAGAAAAAAATATTTAACAGTGCAAAAAATGTATTTTTTAATTTCAAATAACGAAATTCGATGTACATTTTAAACAATACAGACAGTTTTACATGAACAAAACTTCAAAATGAACGCATTCATGGAATTGATAAAAAAAGTTGAATCAAAATTCGAAAACAAAAAAGGAACAGAAAAAAAACAAAGCTGGCGATTACGAAGCGATTCTTGCTTGACCGTCTTCTGTCTTCACACATTTTTATAATAATGCCTTACCAAATAATAATAGGTGGTCGTGAATAAAATGGCATTGGCTTTTTATATTTTTTGTTTGTAAAAAGAAGTTAATTTGAGCTATTCTGAATGGTGATTTCCTGTTTGGTGTTGCCTACTGTAATTTTTCTGTGGTCTATTGCGTGAGGTGGCTTTTGATATACCTAGTGTTGCATACTTAGTGTTGCCAGTATTGACTCTCACAAAACTCAATGTTGGATATTGTTCTCAATCTAAACTCCTTTATCAGAAAATAGTATTTATTTGCCATGTAAGTATAATAATGTCGGAATGCTAGCTAATTTAGCCATTTATTTTTGGGTCACTGTATTTTCTCGAACGTAAATGGGTAGCCATTCATTGACTATCCGATTACATATCTTCAGTGATTGCCAGGTCAAAGATCGCATAGTGAATAATTAATGTTCGGTTACTAGGCCAACGAACATGAGAAGCAATGACTCACACATATAACCAAGTTTCTATATCTACTCAATCATTTCGAAACAATAAAATCAGACATAGTATTAAAGAACACACTAGCGCCATTGTCAACACCAGTGGCATTTCAACGCAACCTCATTACCCCGGTCATAAACAAAACACTAACAATACATTTTTCAAATTTAATAATGGAATGCGTCGTTCGAAAGAACTACTTTCTCTATTCTATTTAAAAAGTTACGCTTGGCTTTAAAAGCATTATTGAGGCCACGAATAAAGAGTTTTTACTTTGTTAAATGGAGTAACGGTAAAATATTTTTAGATAAATATAGATTGAAAGAAAAACACACTATGTCAACTGCTTGTCAAATCGCGCTGCTAGTAATGGATTGTGCCACCAACAGACCGACTTATTGTTCAGTTCGGAGCGTCAGTTCAATAGGTACATTATTTTCTTTCCACGAAAATTTCGAACTTATTACCATAGCCCCTGGGCTTTATATTTATTTTTTCCAGCTAAACAGATAATTGGTGGTCTTGTAATATAATCATCTAACTTGTTTGACTGGAGGGCAAAGCAGAAGTGTATACGGTGCCTACATTTGATTATATTAACATTATTAAAGCTATAAATCAATCATTAGTCACAGTAGGTACGCAATATGCCAAACAAAGACTCTTAGAAATGGCACGCCCGCCGCGGCATATGCAGCTACCCTGATCTGTCAAATCCATTTAATTGATTTGCGACCTTATTATAAGGTAAGTCAAGTTAAAATCAATTTGACTGTAAGAGTAGCTTGATTTGCTTGCACCTTGTAGGCCTTATTTCTCTGATAAATAAATACCTAATTACTGTTTGATTAATAATGTCAACGAACTTTTATGACGCATACTTATGATATCATTTTTCCTCATATGAAAGAGCCCTTCAATCCCTTCCCGCCAAATCATTACGTCAATATTTATATAATCTGTCATCGATTTGCCATACAGACTACGATGGGTCACACTGCCACAGATAATATAATATGAAAAATGTTTGCACATTTAGAATTGTTGTTTGTTTTACTCTGTTAGCTTGCTGATTCATATTGACTGGAGTGGAATACATAATATTTGAATAGTTAATATATATTTTTTAATTTACATACCAACATTTTAGAAAAAAAATATTTGCTATAAAGATTTGATTCTCTAGGTAATCATCATAAATAAGTTCACTTTACCGAAACTAATTTACAATTAACTTTTACGGAAAATGAAAGAATGTTCCTCTTAACCATATTTGGCTTTCTAAGCGAGTGAACGCTAAATCTCGCTCGCATTAAAAAGTTGTTCTACAAAATGTTAAACTAATCAAGTAGGTCAAAGAACAAAGAGTTCACTTCATAAACAGTAAACATCGTAATAGAACTCTATTGACCTGACCGTTAAACAATGGCTTTTATCTCATTCCACTGAACTCTAAATTCGATAACCTGTGAGAACAGCAAATATTTCTAATTTGATATGTTATGCGATACTGGCTGAATGGCTGTGTAGGTTCGTTCTTTTGTCTCTAAGAATGAAGTGTTCGAAATTTGATTGAGCAACAGTTTTCAAAATGGCGCGTAGGTATTGTTTGATAAATCTTTTTAATTTTATTGTACACAAATTTTATTACATTATCATTTTAATAGAGAATGTTTTGTACGAATGTACAATCAATCACTCTCTTTCTTTGACTTTATAAATGTAAATAATATTGCCCTCAATTTCGATTCCAGAAGGAAATTTATTTCTTGATAAAGAACGAGTGACGTCAAAGCACACACTTATGTCACTTGAATTTCTCTGTATTCTGTACTTACATTTAATTTAAACGTGGCAATGCGTGTTCGAATACAACGAAAGCCATATAATACATTCCTCATTTAAATATCAAACATTCTTTATTCAAATGTGACGTTTGATTGATAATTTCCGCGCCAAATAATTACGCGCCATTACGAAATAATATTTGTGATTCGAAACTTTTTGTGATAGTTTTTATAATAATTATATTAATCAAAATGTACATTTAATTTATTAATGGTAATTGTTCAACGGTAGATATTCGTATTTCATTTTTTTCCTCTTTCATGTTGAAATGTTAATAAAATATGGCGAACTCGGAGCTTTTTAATAAATTGATATTTACCTTGTGAAGATATTTAATATTCGAATATTAAATACACGGTTGTATCTAATTACAGTGGAGAAATTTCACTTAATAAACGATGGTAGCCTACTCGAATACATTTCGTAATTATTTTATTTTAAAAGAGCCGCCACAAATCTCTTTACTATTCACGAGATTATTATTTTTTAATCATAAGTAAGTAGAATATTTCACGTAGGCGTTATAACGTACTATTTTGAGAAAATCAATCATATTACTATTCCACAAGAGTCTATTTTTCGAGATTTAAATTTCATTGAACGTAATTTTGTTAGTAGGTAGGTAATCAACAAACTTCTAGACTCTAAATTGAATTCTACTGCCTCATAATAAGGTATATAGTTCTAGATATAATACACGTACGTACTCGTTATACAAACCTCGCCTCGATCTATCACAGAATTCAACCCTCTGACGGGACAAACTCAACCCCCTGACGCGACCAATTCAACCCCACGTGGTTGGACCGACGTAGGTCCATGTTGACATGGGGTGACATCGCTGTTGGCTAGCAATTTGCCCGAATATCCTGTGACTATTTAAGAGCTTAAATTACTACTATTGAGCCCGGCACAGAGACAAAATATCACACTAATTTTGCCTTGGAATAGCTGTTTATTTTATATACAAGACTCCCACTTGGACATCTTGCTAACGACAGACCAATAGCATTAAAATTTCTAATTCAAAAGAATTTCTCAGTAGAAGTAATTTCTTATTGCGAAGTACTAAAATTTCGAAGCGTTTATAGTTTGTCCTATTTCAAAAAGCAATCCTAACTTTGTAATTTTGTTTTTTTACAGCTGATCCGTTGCCAGGCAAGCACGTACCGCTAGAGAGCTATGAGAGTGAACTGGAGAGGGAGCACGCGCTGCCGACATCCGTCCCCAATGCCGACATACTCAAGACTAATAGCAACCCGACGTACCATAAGCCGAGGTAAGCTATGATAGATTACTTTTTAATGTTTTTTTTTTCATAAAATTCTCCTTGGAGGTCGAAGAAAGTTCTGCGATTCATACTGGCCAGTGTTTTCATTTTTTTAAATTGTTAGTCTATGTAAACAATACGGTTTAGTTTCTCATTACCCAGGTGTACCTACAATACATTTTCTCTCAACCCTTTGGCGAGAAACTTGTGTTACATTTAATATATCACTGACATAAAATTGGCCAAAAGCCGATAAACCGGTCGTAGATTTACTTTTATCACAGCAACTTTTTTACTTCTAGTCGTAAAACTTTGGATACACGCTCCGAATTACGGTAATTAAAATACTTGACGTATACAAACAAACATCTAGATTGTAATTAAAAACAGTAATTATCATTAAATTTTAAAACGGGACAGCTAATCGTGATTGTACGCGATGCGTAAAACGGGCGATTCTTTACGCGGCGCGCGTAAAAAGGTAAATTCTCACGGAACGTTTATTTCGTCCAAATCGTAAAATTGGCATAACCTCGCAGTATCATTTACGAACGATTAGTTTTATTTTAGGGTTGGCAAACGACTAAAAAAAAGTTATTTATAATTATTACAGCTAAAGTACCTAGAATAACGTCAGTAAATCTATTTGCTCACTACAAAGTGCTAATCTAATCAACCTTAAAGAAAAAAATAGATCCACATTAATCCAAAAAGATTACATTTCTACAAAAAAAGAATCAACACGGAAATCCAGAGAACATTATGGTTCAAAGAAAAAAAAAAGAACACTGGGATTGAATACACAAAAGTAGAAGCGTGTTAAATAAATGAATTAAACAAAGATAAAATAACATTCATTTTACTTCGCATTTCTGTTTAAACATAGATTATGAAAATAATAAAGCAATGTTAGCTTATTTTCGCGGGCTTGTTTAATTTTATTTCGTTGCCATAAAATAATTTTGCTGTGCTAATAAGACTGGTGTTGTGGTTAGACTTTGTCGCACAAAATTAATGTTAATTACTAATTAACTGAAGTAAAATTATGTTTTAATGTTCAATATTTCTGCCAAAATACATCAAAATCGAAATTAGAAAATTTAGGGTTTCTCAACCATTCAAAAATATTAGTTCAAATTGTAAAGAAAATCAAAATGGCGTAATTATTACCCTTTTCAGATTAACTAGTTGAGTACCGTCATTATAGACACAATTAAAGAACAATAGGTTGCGGTCACCGGTGACCGCTCAGTGTTTGACAGTATAAACTACGTATTTAGTTATAAGTAGATTTGTTTAGTAAGATTCACGAGGTTTAAGTAGGCTTATTCTGTAAAATCCAATAGGCACAGCCCTAATCCCGCACAAACACTATCACTCACAAAATATAATTGGTAATTTTCTCGCTAAACCAGTTTTAACTTTATTGAGATCTCCTAATTCTCATTTCCTCTGATTTTATTGATGTGACAACATTAAATTGACGTTTTATAATCTCAGTTTTATTACTACAGTTTTTGCTTATCTGATTATAAATGAAAACATCGAATAAATTGGTTATCACGAATAAATTTCGATATTAAAATTATAAATATGCAATGAGGTAGCTGTGTCGTGTTCTAAAGTTTTAATTAATTAATTAAATTACTTAAAAAAGTGAGTTTTTAATTATAAATGATGATCATTCGCTATTAACACAGTGTGTGTCGATTTTTAGCGGCCATTTTTTTACCACTACCATTTGGCTTTTAATGAAACATTCGCATCGCTCTCACGTTATTAAATGTGGCTAATAGTTACTAATCAGTGTTATATCGTAAAAGGAAACAGATAGACGTGTTTTAAAATAACCTCCAGATAAGTAAAAGTAAGCCATATATTATGTCCTTATTTTGGCTTTTATTATGAGCCAAAATATTTCTTCTAGGGGACTCAAATTCTTCTGCTTGGGGAAATACAAATTAACACCACATTTTAATCAAAGCAATGGGAAATAAGTACCTAGTTAATGTATATAAATAAAAATGAATTTCCGTTCGTTAGTCTCGCTTAAAACTCGAGAACGGCTGAACCGATTTGGTTAATCTTGGTTTTGAAATGTTCGTGAAAGTCCAGGGAAGGTTTAAGAGGAGAGAAAATTTTTTAGGTGGGCCGAAGTATCAGCCGAAGTATCAGCCAGTGGGCCGGATCAGCTAGTCACTTTATAAAATAAAATTCACCCAATACCAAAATAAAAATGTTAATAAATGATATTCTACAATTTTAGGACCAATAAAAAAGAATTGTCGTATAAACTATTCGTAAAAAAGCATTTGGCCTACCAAAGAATAATTTTACGAAAGGAATAATTTAAGTTAGAGGACATTATGTACTTTAATGTACCTTTTTACGACTTAACTTTGAAAATGTACCTCAGTTCCAAACATTCGCTTTTTAATCTCATACTATAAGTACTTGAGAATTTGGTACAATTTGATTTTTAAAGGACAGTATTTCTTTGAGATTATTCTGGAGATGAGATGAATATTATTAAGTAATGTTTAGTTTTTGGTCTTGAGTCTATTAACATTATATCAGTCATCACCATAATCGGCTCTTTTATGTCCATCTGCTGGACATAGACTTGTTTGAAAGCACACTATTCAGCTAGATCTTCAGCTCTTCACGTCTAACCATTGTCAGCCACTCTACTGACATCATCGGAGTGATGATGTCAGAATCCAGTCTCCATTGTGACATGAATTTCTATTGGTTATAGTTTTACTCCCTCATTTACGAACTCATCTATACAGATCATCATCAACAGCCTATAAGTCGTCACTGCTGATTAAAGGTCGTCTCGCACAGAGCACGCATTAATCACCACGCATGCTCAATGCGGGTTGGCGATTTCAATCTTATAATTAGAAATTACAAGCCCAGATTCACGATGTTTTCCTGCACCGTGTGTCAGTGGCGTCTAGATTATCTTAGAAAGCACATAACTTGGTTAAAGTCAAATTAGTACTTGTCGTTGATAGGTTTCGAAGCCGCACTCTCATGCATGAGAAGTGGCCGCGGAGAACCTAACGGGTTGCCGGGGCTCCGGCTCGAAGTGCAGGAGTAGGAACGGGGTGGTTTTTAGTCAGTAAGAGTCTGACACTCCCTCCCGCCTCACCCAGGCGAGAGAAGTCATTCGATGATTTTCCCCCCCTTAAAAAATGCATGAGAAGTGGGCGTTTTGAACCTCTAGGCCACCATGACATTAATCTATACTAATACAAATAACAATACTGCGGGAGTTTGTTTGTTTGAACTAGATTGAACGTCCTCAAATGAGGTTTTGATTGCAAATTATTTAGCATTAGAGTTTATTTAACAAGAATGGATATACGGGTAAAATAGTATTGAAATGTTGCATGTGGGTGTGTTCTAAAACTGCAACTAACTGTTGACGGATAGACATCAGCACTCTTTAAACTTCTGGTGGTCTAACTGTTCCGTTTACTAAAATAAAGATTAGTATTGCGAAAGCCAAAATGCAGAACTGCCAAGGATACGTACTGTGGTAAACCTTCCCATCCTTGGTGGCAACAGAGACGGCTTTGTTCATCTGTAGACATGTCCAAGCTAATAATAATAATAAAAATAGTAACAACCTATTATATACACCCCTAAACCATTTCCTAACAAAAAGTTACTTAGCATGTTATTGCACCTAAACTTACCTCTTACTTGTACTGTTAGGTGTCACATCTAGGTTACAGAAAACCAAGGCTAGGCAAGGTAGGCTGCGCGACATCGCCGCGACCGTGTACACTGCTCATGAGGAAGAGCCCCTCTGTGGCTCGAAACTAGTAGAGCTTTTCTCAGTATACTCAAAATATCGTCATCTATCTCAACTTGTGAGTTCCTTAAAATTTAGGACAAATTGGTGAATCAACTAAAATCGCGGGTTACTCACGTGAATATACCTACTAAGAAAAGCTCTACTAGTTTCGAACCACAGAGGGGTTGATGAATGGAAAAATTAAGTCTAATTTTGTAGGTTTGTAATGCTATGCATATTTAGTAATATTATATGTTACCTTAGTTTCTTAATAGTTAAGATATTAATATTAATCAGGATATTACTGGATTGGAAGACTCTCTTCAAGGGGGGTGGGGGGGGTGTAATTACTTACTATAGCTTCTCAGACGAAATGCGATCCCTTGAGATACGAGGCGCTCACTAATTAGAATTGCTACGATGTCCAGCTATATATAGATCTATATATATGTAATATAAATTAATAATATTAGTCCTGTAATCCCTGTGAGACAACTATGATATATAATTGTCAGGTTTAATAAAAGTTACGGGGCATATACATGCATCATACATAATCTATTTTTGTTTATGAGTCTTGGTAGCGTATCTTTTGCGTATTTTGTATTAGACTTTATATATGGGCAAGGAAAACAGTCATGATGATGTAAACGCTTGTATAAAACTCACCTTAAATTAATTATGGGAGAGCCATGCTTCGACACGAATCGGCCGGAGTGATACCACGGCCTCACAGAAAACCGACATGAAACAACGCTTTTTTTAAGGGGGGAAAATCATCGAATGACTGCTCCCGCCTGGGTGAGGCGGTAAGGAGTGTCAGAATCTTACTGACTAAAAACCACCCCGTTCCTTCTCCTGCACGTCGAGCCGGAGCCCCGGTTACCCGTTAGGTTCTCCGCGACATAAAATAACGCTTGCGTTGTGTTTCGTCGTGTGAGTGAGGTTACCGGAGGCCCAATTACCCCCTCCCTAGTCTCCCGAATCCCCGAATCCTTCACAATCCTCAAATTCCCAATTCCCAAAAGGCCGGTAACGCACTTGCAACGCCTTGGTGTTTCGGGTGTCCATTGGCTCCGATTGCTTACCACCGGGTGTTCCGTCTGCTAGTTTATCGGCTTATGCTATAAAAAAATACTCTTTCCTAAAAATAATTTCCGAAAAATACTTCCAAAAAACAGCACAAAAATTCAATTTACAA